TAGAAAAACACTCTTATCCGAAAGGCAACACGCTGCCAAGTACTTATGCCAGAAGGAAATTTTGAATTGTATTTTCTGAGTTATAGACATTTGGAAATTGAAAATGCAAATGTGACGTCAACTAACGTCAGACTTTTTACATTGTTTGCGCTATGCTGTTCTTGGTTGAAGTGCTCAAGCCATCAATCACAGTAACAATTGAGAGCTGAAAATGCTTTTTCCAAATTAACAAAAAGAATGACGTCCTCTTTCATGATTTTGTATATTAAATCATTCCGTAGTAGTAGACGTCACTTCATTTGCATTTTCTAAGTTTCAATGGCCCATAACTTAAAATCAATTTCTTTCTTCACAGATGTACTTAGAAGAATTTCTCTTTTGGATGAGAATGAATTTCTAATGACGTCATGTGCACTTTAAGATTTGCCAAATTCAGTTGAAAAATTCAGTTGACTTTCATGTGTCGGTCATGTGTGTGACTTTCAAATGTCGGACATCACTTAAGTACATAATGAAAATACTCGTCAGATCAGTCTGAAAGTTTCATGGAAAAATATCAAACTCCTTCGAAGTTTAATATAAAGAGAGTTAAAAAAGACAAAACAAAAGCACCAGCTACAAGGAACCAAGTAAAGAATTTCATACAAATCCTTGTATTTGATCGATTCCGGCTCATAACTTAGATTAACTTCGCTAGAAGTTTGACCATAGCTTCAGAAAAACCTATTTGTGATAGATATTTCATATCGGACAGTGTTAAATGTTTTCATAATTGATAGCCGATTTCTATATTTATGGAATCATGTAATCACTACTTACTTAAACCTGGGTTACGTTCGTCACGACGCAAAGCATGCTATTTCAGATAACGCTGCTCGTGTGGCATAATCTAAAAGTGAAGGTCGCATATTGAAAGCAATTCATGACAGATTTTAACCCTTGAGTAAATAGAAAGCGACACGAATATTACGGAAAAATAGTCGAAGCGTGAATAGTCTGTATGTTTCTTAGGTACAGTAAAAACCCGCGTATAAGAACACCTATTTTTAGCGTTTCAGGCTGATTGGGTTCTTATATAAAGGGTTATAAATGAGCCTCTAAGTGTTCTTAAGTGTTCTTAAAAAAAGTTTCTTAAAATAAGGAACGTACTTGGCTACCAATTCTTGGGTTGCAGTTAAGTCAGGGCCGTAACCAGAACTTCTACCGGGAGGGTGCACATCCGATCAAACCGGACCAATATTGGCCTTTATTATTAGTAGAACTTTCAGTATATAAAGTCAGAGTGTTTTTATTTTCAACTCCCATGAAATACACAACAGCGTATTASAACTTATAGCACTTATTGATTAGTGTTTGCGATTTATGTTGATTTCCTTATGGACTCAGTTCGAAATCCAGTTCGTTTTTAAAACATATCCGGCCGATTCGTGGATAAAATCGACAAAATAAATCTAAAATAAAGATTCATGTCATTATTTTTTTAAATATGGAGATAGATGAGCGGACCTTCAGCTTCTCTGGGAGGGTGCACGTGCACCCAGTGCACCCCCTCTGGTTACGGGCATGTACGTCATCACAATTTTTATTTTACTCGCATTAAAACATGACATTCATGTCCTTTTAGAGCATACTACATAGTTTGACAAAAATTTAGGATTGTAGAGCACAGCCGGAGAGACATATAACATTTTTTATAACATTTTTGCACTCATTACAATTGTTTTTATAGGTCCGTGACACAATTCAATCTTTAATATATCGAGAACCAAAACGTTRTATAGTACACTCATTTTTGTTCTTGTATCTTTATAATACATAATTATAACATATTTAAAAAACTCATACATAATTAATGAGCTACTAGGCCAATAGAATGAGCCTATTTGGTCACATGCATGGACCTTTATATCTGATAAAACACTCCTTATTAGTATTCTTTATATAAAGATGCAGGATGTCAACCGATTTCAGTGAACAGCCAAGAGCGCTTCTATTTTACTTTATGCGTATTCAATGTGGGATGACAAGAGTGCTTTGTAAAGTGATTCGCGCATGATCAGTTTGCCCCATTTATCTCTGAACATATTTGTACGGCAATTTCTCCAAGAATTTTAACGGATTTGAGTTTCAAATTAGCGTTGAAGTTTTTTAAGCCCGGGGGGGTGGGGGACTCCCTAATATCAAAGGGCGGAGGTCCTCGGCGGAGATTGTGAAAATGACCCCTAAAAGGGACCTCTATTGTGAGATGATGGGCGTGGCAGTGCTGAAATTTCAACCCTAAAAGGGACCAATCAATAACAGGTCATTTTGTTTTGATTTACCGATTTTATTTGTGTTTTTACACAATTATCGAACACCGTCGGCTCGTAATGAGTTTATGACGACGTTGCCATTTTATGACTGCTTAGGGTCGCCGTTTACCCTAAAAGGGACCACAATACTCAGTTGGTAGGAATTCTTGTCATGATCACCCTAAGCGGGACCAAAATACTGATTTCAAACCCTAAAAGGGACKCCGAGGAYCCCCGCCCTTTGATATTAGGGAGTCCCCCCCCCGGGTTTTTAAGCCGTTTAAAACACTCGAGATCGTGTTTTAAACTATATATAGTTTGTATCATCATAGGATGGATATTAGAGAATATATTTTTGTGACGTCACATGAAACCCAAGAATAGATGAAATCATTATCAATGCACACAATTTTAATTAATCAATTAATCAATACAATGATGTAACTATTTGAATTAAAAAAAAAAATTGATAAATCAATGTGTGCTAAAAATTAGTGTTAATCTTTGATAGAACAACTTTCATTTTTCAGGCTGRATGTATTCTTATATAAATGGTACTTTATTTCCTAAAATCAGGCCTGGGTGTTCTTAATCCACTTGTTCTTATACGCGGGTTTTCAATAACATTCAGTTGCATCGGTGTACTAAGTTAAACTTCCATGAACTTTTTCAGCGCAGCAATGTGGATTTTGATTTTTTTGTTTTGTTTTAAGAATAACGAGAAGTTTCATAATATACACTTTTACAGTCCGCTATTACAGACACCTTGGAAGCCACTTTTCAGTAATTTGTATTTTTCGCATTTGTATTTCTCTCCGTACGTAATATAGAGATTTCCGTAATAGAGGGTTACCCATAGTACAAAGGTTTACAGTACAACTGCAGAAACCTTGTCATTGAGAAAATTATGGATATTTGTACCTTCACAAATCATTCAAAAAAAACATTTTTCAATTCTTTTTGTACTTAAGTCTTTTTGTACTTAAGTACAAATATTCTATTTGTTTAGAGAAACAACGTTCGTTTTACATCTATTAGCTTGTATGTTATCTCAATATAACTGAACTGATGACTGTTTATACGATTTAGAGGTTAACCGGTCTAGTATCTTGTTTTCTTTGTTTTCTTTTACACGGGAGATTAAATTTGCTTGTGTTAAATGCTTAAAGCCTATCACGCTAAGGATCCCACGCTAACTGAGTTTCATGTCAATGTCAGGTTTGGTGTCAGGATTCATCAAGYTATTAGCTTTTCACTTGCCAGCATTAAACTCATTGTTACTCTATCTTTTTCTCTCTCTGCACCACTGAATAAACGTCACAGCAACGGCAATGTTTTCACGCGTCGGAAATCGACTATACAGGCAGTTTTATAACCTTGCATGACAGGCGGTTTTCAATAAACGTTTCATGGTTTCTCCCAAATCCAAAGCACGAAAGTCCATTCAAGTTAAAAATTATACGAATTCTTAGTATAAACATTCATCATACCTGCTCTTTACCTTCGGTGTTCGTTGTTTAGTGTGAGGCTTTCAATACTTTCAGTCTTTCGCGCTCTCTTTTGGCAAGCTATACTGACACGCATCAAGTGTACAGTGTCAGTGCTGTTTACATATTTCCCTGCCTTAAGTTTGTGGACCTTTTTGTTCTATTGCCAATTGTTGTTTTATTGCAAACACCACGGATCACTTCACTCGATCCTAATTGTCCCAGTATAATGATGTTTTGCTTACGCCCCAAATTGTTTTGGGAATATTTACGTGGGCTTCCTGTGGAAGCTCACGTCTTAAAATGCAAGTGGACTTTTCTCCAATAGCCGACTTGCGAATTACGCATCAATAGTCACATACAAAGGAATCAAGACGAGGCGCCGTGCTAAAGACAATAGATTTTTCACAAAAAAGCACGGCGCCTCGTCTTGATTCCTTTGTATGTGACTATTGATGCGTAATTCGCAAGTCGGCTATTGGTACAATCTCGTACCCAGATTCAAACGATCAAAATATTGTTCAAAGTTTAACAATACTGACAAAACTGCAAAGACTGTACCGTTTCTATTATTTATATGACCTTTCAGGTCAAATTTATTTAAATCTCACGTTTTTGCATATTTTGAATAATCTAAACGCTGTTAGAGTGTAAAGTCGGGCTAGCTATTTTGGAAAACTGAGAAAGACAGGATATAAGTTACTTAGAGTAAACAAAATATGATGTAGTAAATAGCGTATATTAACTTAATTATGTCTTGACTTCTTCAAACAAAGACTATATCGTGAAAATGAAATACCCTGTCGCAGCCACAGTAAGCCCACGTAAGCGATCCATGATCGTCTAGTTCCTCATTGTTGAAGTATGAGAGAAATGTTGTGTTTCGCTATACAATACATGTCTGCTTATTTAATTTCTTGAAGAAATTTTGACTTACCGCCAACCAAGTTAATACATCAATGCGTTGGTTTGCTGATAAACATTCGTTTTCTTAGAAAAACGGGCAAAATACACACAGCAAAATTCTGAGAAGTCGGTATCATAAAAGCAACACGCTCTAATAGAGCGCGAACTCGTGAAGACGCAAGGTTTATAGAGAAATTTGAACTCATATTGATGTTTTCATTTCATACTATATTGTTTGACTCCCCGTAGTTATAGTAGTAGGGAATCCGGGGTAAAAGTACGTGGGATGCTCGTCGGATCTTTTAGAGGTTAAAAGGTTTGTGATTGGGCATCTTTTAGACTGCCAATTTGCAGTTTCTGCAATCTCTTACGATGTCCGAAAAGACTAAGAAAAAGGGCGCATCGATATTGATTTTCCTCTGCCGTATGTTTTGTCATTAAATATTTGATACATTTATCATTGGAACTCATTTAATTTAACAATATTTGTTGTGCAATCTCTTAGGGGTTAAAAATCAGTCAGCCACGCCCTTTTTTCAAGACTTCCGGGATCTTTTAGGGGTCTTTATGAAAATTTCCGAAAAGCATCCCCGGTACTTTTATCCCCCCCCCCCCCCCCCCCCCTCCCCCGGGATGTAGTCTACTAGTTATTTTACGGTTTTTAATAACTTAAAAGTTTATAACGACTATACTGGTTTTCCCCCACAGATAGTCTAGGAGATTGCACTAAAGGATGGATCCATGTAAACTCGTATTGCTACCATATATCTGAAAAGACTTCCTGGACTTATGCAAATCAGGACTGCAAAAAGAAAGCATCCACATTGGCAATCATTGATCATAAAAGCACAATAAAACTTCTTGGCCAAGAGCTTAATACCCTTCTACCATCTGGRRSSGTTCAGTTGTTCATCGGTCTACAATATTTACCAGAGTTTCGATGGACCGACGGGAATCCGATCGATAAGGGATTGTGGTTAAAGGRTTACCCAAAAGTGAATGAAGCACTTAGTTTACAATGTGTCGTTCTTTATCTAACTTCTTTTGGCTGGCGTCTGATGCAGTTAAATTGCAWGACGACCACCAGGAAAGTGATGTGCGAGACGGACAGACGTAAGTTATGGTWATAACTAGTGTACAAATCAGGGCATTCATGGAAAGCAGGAATTTATTTCATTTAACTATAAGTGTTGTAATGTAGTCACAGTGGCGGATCTAGGATTTTTTTAAGGAGRGGAACCTGGAGGAAATCAGTTTCAAATTTTTTCGTTACGTTCTATTTTTCTGTATGCTACAGCCTTAGGTACGTTTTTTGAGTATTTCTAAGCTCCCCTTCCCTGGATCCGCCCCTGGGTTCACGTCTTGTCTGGCTTTTATGCAAAAGCATGACCACAAGAGCCTAGCAAACCTACATTTGTATTCTTAAGGAACTCTATTGTTACCTGGCGACAGTTCGTGTTCAACTTCATAGGTAGACAACCCTTTTAGCAGTCTTGAGCTGTACAACTATATACTGACTTATTCGTGTTATTTTTCAGAAAATCAAGCCTACAAAAGCACAACATTTTCTGAATCAGATGCTGAATTTGGCCACCATTCCTATGCAGTTGACGGGAATTATGCATCGTGCTTCCAGACAAAACAGGTCAAGGGCCTTTTTTTAATTACTTAGCTAGTTTGTGAATTATAAATAGCTCGAAATCTGCTCATAGAAGTCAACAATGAACGAATGTAACACAATTTACGAGTTATTCAGTTCTGACTACGGGTCACGAGTTATTCAGTTCTCAATATGAGTTACGAGTTATTTAGTTCTCACTACGGGTCACGAGTTATTCAGTTCTCAATATGAGTTACGAGTTATTTAGTTCTCACTACGGGTCACGAGTTATTCAGTTCTCAATATGAGTTACGAGTTATTTAGTTCTCACTACGGGTCACGAGTTATTCAGTTCTCAATATGAGTTACGAGTTATTTAGTTCTCACTACGGGTCACGAGTTATTCAGTTCTCAATATGAGTTACGAGTTATTTAGTTCTCACTACGGGTCACGAGTTATTCAGTTCTCAATATGAGTTACGAGTTATTTAGTTCTCACTACGGGTCACGAGTTATTCAGTTCTCAATATGAGTTACGAGTTATTTAGTTCTCACTACGGGTCACGAGTTATTCAGTTCTCAATATGAGTTACGAGTTATTTAGTTCTCACTACGGGTCACGAGTTATTCAGTTCTCAATATGAGTTACGAGTTATTTAGTTCTCACTACGGGTCACGAGTTATTCAGTTCTCAATATGAGTTACGAGTTATTTAGTTCTCACTACGGGTCACGAGTTATTCAGTTCTCAATATGAGTTACGAGTTATTTAGTTCTCACTACGGGTCACGAGTTATTCAGTTCTCAATATGAGTTACGAGTTATTTAGTTCTCACTACGGGTCACGAGTTATTCAGTTCTCAATATGAGTTACGAGTTATTTAGTTCTCACTACGGGTCACGAGTTATTCAGTTCTCAATATGAGTTACGAGTTATTTAGTTCTCACTACGGGTCACGAGTTATTCAGTTCTCAATATGAGTTACGAGTTATTTAGTTCTCACTACGGGTCACGAGTTATTCAGTTCTCAATATGAGTTACGAGTTATTTAGTTCTCACTACG